CCCGCGCCCCGCAACCCCGCGCCCCGCGCCCCGCCCGCGCCCGCCAGTCGGAGAACAACACGAGCTGTCGGGCCAGGCGTCCCAGAGCCTGGAGGACTGGGGTTTGCACGGTCGCCTAGGCTTTGGAGCCGCTTCCCGGGTCCTTCCAGGGACGACTGGGGAGTGTCTTACCCCGCCTCCCGCTGGGCTGGTGTGGGAGGTGACCCAAGTCTGAGTCTTTTTTTCTGCTTCTTTGGTCTCAAACCAGGTCAAGCCCCACGGTTTACAGCACAGTCCCCTGCGGACCTAAGCTTTCTGAAGTTCATCTAGACGTTCTGAAGTTCTTGGAGCTGCCTCCTTCCCTGGAATATCATTTATCATTCGATTGGTGAGGGGCAGTGGAGAAATCTTGGGACTCAGTCCTGACTAGGACCTGAGCATTCTGAGAGGCACACCGTCCGTCCTGCCCCAGGAGTTCCTGGGGGTGAAGGCCGAAGCCCGGAGTCTCGAAGAGATAAGGATCAACAGGTTGGGCCCAGAGAAAAAAAGATCGTTTGAAAAGAAGCCACAGAAAAAGAATAGTAAGTGCTGAGCTTAGTACCAGAACTCATGACTATGGGGAGGAAGGTGCTGTGGCAAGACCCGAGGGTCATTCCAGATTTCCCATTCCCTCACCAATCATCAATATCATGTGTGTGTGTGTGTGTGTGTGTGTGTGTGTAACAGAGACAGATGGACGGACAGACACTGTCCACCATTGTAGACCAGGCTGGCCTCAAACTCATGATTACAGGCATGAACCACCATGCCTGTAGGCTGGCGAGCCTTTACAACGACAGTAATGAAGTAGCCCATGCCTTGTCCTTAGTAAGCAAACAACAAATCATGGTGTCAATAACCATAGCATTCATTTCCCAGCTCTATGCTAGCTATTACAGCTCGAGTATTCCCTGATCCCCTAGTCTCAGGTGCTCTGAGATCTGAAATTTTCCAAGTACTGACATGATGTCACAAGTGTAAAATTCTACACATGATGGGTCGCAGTCAAAATCCACTTTATATGAACACTGTGCAAAAGCACCTTAAGGCTGTGTATAAGGAAATATGAAACAAGTATTTCAGCATTTCAGAAAATCCAAACTCTGATCCCAAGACTCTTAGATAAGTCTCTCTCTCTCCTCTCTCTCTCCATATATATGATTATATATATATATATATATATATATATCACATATATATTTGGGTAATTTTGTCTGTGCATGTACATGTGTGGATGCAGGCATGTGTGTGCCATGGATGATGTGTGGAGGTCAGCAGACAACTTTGGGTGTTGGTCCTCACCTTCTGCCCTGAGGCAGAGTCCCTTGCCTTGCCACTGTGTACTCCATGCTAGTGGACCCCAGAGCTTCTAGGACTTCTCCTTTCCCCACCTCCCATCTCACCATAGCAGCACTAAGATTAGAGGCATGCAGTGCTCCACCCACTGAACGTGGTTTTGGGGATTTGAACTCAGGTCCTCAGGCTTGTACAGCAAGTCAGTGCTTTACTCACTGAGCCATTTCCCGAGCCCTCAACTTGTCTTTGTGTTTGTTTTGTTTCTTGTTTTTGAGACAGGGTCTCACTATGCAGCCCTGGGATTAAAGACATGTGCCATTATGCTCAACCTGAGAAGCTGGACTTGAATCTCCATCCTCCCATCATCAAAAACAATGTCTTCCCTGTAGTAATGATAGTGATTTCTGTTTAATTTTAGTTTACTTTGTTCCTAAAAGCACTTTAGACTTTTTATATGTGATGCAATTTTACCTGCAAAATTGATCCACTGAAAAGAATAGTATTATTAAATCTTATCTGTTACAGACAAAATCTCAACAAGCTTAGGGAGATTGCCTAAGAGGACAGATTAGAGATGGTGATGAGTGGTTCCAACACCTTGCCCATACTCCTGACTAGACTGTGAGGCCAGGAGATTGTCACTGTGACTCAGTGGACCTGTGGTCTGGTGTGAAAAATGGTCTTGATCTTGGCTCCCTCTCCCAAGAGAATGAACTGGAAATACAGAGTTAAACAGGGCTTTTTCAGCAGAAGCTACAGCTGAAGCATGCTGTGAGGTAGGCCCAGCCATGAGGGTTCATACATGACCTGAAATTATGAAGGAGAGCTGCCTTGGGCACTGGAACCCTTGTTTGGTGGATGCATTCATATCATTTTACTGTGGCTAGCCCAATGAAAGCAGAAGGGAGAAAACTATAGTCAAATATTTATATATTTTTTTCTCCAAAGGATTACTTTGCAAATATCTCCCAAATGTCTACAAGATAGAACATGTCTTAAAAAGTGCTTGCTTAGAATTCACAAAGCAGGTTCGATCTCACAGATTCAGTGTAATCCAGGCACATGCCTGTAATCCCAGCACAAAAGAGGTAGGAGCAGGAGGATTAGGAGGATTGGAAGTTCAGGATCCATCTTTGGTTACATAGTAAGTTCAAGGCTAATCTGGGATTCTTGAGACCTTGTCTCAAAAGAGCAAACAAACAACAAAAACTAACCAAACAACAATAAAAAGCCTAGTAAATGGGAAATGTACTACCTGGCAAAACTAAAACTAGACAGGAACTTCTTTGTGGTCTCTGCAGAACAAACACAGAATTTCAGAAGGTAGATGCAGCTTCTTTCTCCACTTAAAGGGACACATGAATAAGTAAGTTCAATTTGAACTCAGAAGTTAGAGGGGATTGGTGTTGGTTTTATTTTTTAATTTTTGGTGGAGGGTGGTTTTGTTTTCTTCAGGACTTTTTCTCTTTTTTTGAGACAGGGTCTCTCTGTAGCCCCAGCTGGCCTGGAACTCACTATGTAGACCAAGCTGGCCTTGAACTCATAGAGATCCACCTGCCTCTGCCCAACCTCGTCAGGACTTCTATGTAGCCAAGGATAACCTTGAGCTTCCAAGCTTCTTGCCAGGCTGGGCTAGATGAGGTCTTGTTTCAAAGGAAAGTATAGTAGTCTTTCTAGGAACAAGGTGTCAAGAACTTTGGGGCTTCAGGACTAGTGAGGAGGGTGAGGATGGCTTGTCCTAGAGAGAAGGGAATAAATGAGAAGCTGGTAACCTCGATGAACTAAGAGAGTGCTGCTGGTAGTAAGGTACCTTTCCCATGAGTACCCCAGACAGAGGACCACTGCTTGTGCTGTGGAGACTGGGTCTCAGTGGCATCTCCTGAGGTCATACAAGGACCACTGAGGGCTGCTTAGTCCACACAGGCCTCAAGCTTGGCATTTGGTGGAGGTGGAGGAGCCCTTGGCATCACAACCACGTGACAGCAGGTACCCTGGAAAAACACCAGGTGGTCTCTCTTCACTGCCTAGGCAGCATGTAACCCTGCACCCCAAGTCTTGGATAACACAGACTGACCCTATATCCCTATCCTAAACAAGATTCTACTTCTGACCAAGTCATACAAATGAAACTTGGAGTTAGATTTGGCTTAGAAAACTCAACCAAAGGACAAAAAATTCATAGGTGTTGCATGATAATTACGGTAGATGAACTTGATCTTTTGAGGCTTCCATCTGCCTTGTCTAAAGTAGGACATGCAATATTCACACCAAGACCCCACTCCCCGCCCCCAGTATGTACCAAGGATACTATGCTCAAGCCACACAGTATCTCCCAGCTTCCAAGTATAAGTGCTCCTGTCTACTCACACTGTTTCTTCTGCCTAAAAATCCTTTACATTTTTATTTATGTGTATGTGCCTGCATAGATGTATGTGTACCACATGCATGTCAAGGCCCACAGAGACCAGCAGAGGGCATCAGATCCCCTGGAAGTAGAGTTATAGGTGGTTATGAGTTGTCTAGTATGTGTGCTGGGAACTAAACTTGAGTCCTCTGCAAGAGCAGCCTGTGATCATAACTGCTGAACCATCTTTTTTACCAGGTGGCATCCTACAAAACCCAACTCATAAAAATCCATGACACACCCAGGAAGATTTCATCAATTCTCAAGCACATCATTAACCTTTTCCTAACCCTCTTGTGATAAGGACTACTATTAGTTACCTGTCTTATCAGGCAACCTGAGGTGTCTTGAAGGCCAGACTCCTATGTGATTTATCTCTGCATCCTGGCACCTTGCCCAGTGCCTGGCACACAGGTTCATTCAACATGAATCCATTCTAACTAGTACTTCATGCAGGATGACTCTGCTTTTGTGGCCTTCTCATGACCTGCTGTCACAACACACAAGAACACTTTGGGTTTGGCGGGCAAATTCCTTGGCTACCTAGTCGTCAGTGGCGGAACCAAAGCCTCGAGGAGCAGCTCTCCACTAACCCTGTCATCTGGGTGTCAGTGGCTCCTCTTTAGAAACTACATGGCATAGTGAAGATGACATTTGGATTAATGACTTTAAATTGTTTGGAAAAGATTTTATTTTTAATTAGATATATGTGCATGTACACATGTGCATGCAGGTGCTTGTGGAGTCCAGAAGAAGGCATAAGATCCTCTGGATGTGGGGTTACAAGTAGTTGTGAGCTGCCCAATGTGAGTGCTAGGAGCCAAACTCAGTCCCCTGCAAGGTACTCTTAAGCACTGAACCACCTCTCCAGTCCCTAAATTGTTGCTTTTTTAAATATCAAAGCTCATATGCTGAAGTTCCCTTCTCTGAATTGGGAAAGTGAAGCCTTGACACTTTTTTTCGTGACAAGGTCTCATACAGCCCAGGCTGTCCTGGAAATCCTGATTCTCCTGGCTCTACTTCCCAACTTCTGGGACTACAAGCACGGGGTACCATGCCAGGCAATGCTTAAAGCTGATTTAGAAACCATTTTCTTATCTGAATAGTCAGTTACTTTTTAATCTTAGGTGATTTTAAAAATTTTTAAATTTGGGGTTAGAGAGATGGCTCAGCAGTTAAGAGCAGTGACTCTTCTTGCAGAAGACCCGGGTTCGAATCCCAGCACCCACATGACAGCTAATAACTTCAGATCCAGGGGCTCCAACAGCCTCTTCTCTCCTTCCCGGGCATTGCATGACATGGGTGTGTGGTGTGTGTGTTTGAGTCAGGGTCTCACTACATAGCCCTGGCTGGCTTCAGACTTGCTATGTAGACCAGACTGGTCTTGAACTCAGAGTGCTTCTGCCTCCCGAGTGCTATGATTAAAGGCACCCTCATATGATGTACATGGCCTGTTTTATATGGCCTGAAAGCTAAGAATGACTGTGTTTTCCTTCTTAAATGTTTTTAATTTTTTTTTTTTGAGCCAGCGGCTCATGAATCCCAGACTTGGTATGCCAAGTTTATATGGTGCTGGGGATGGAACCTAGAACTTTGTGGTGGCTAGGCAAGTGTTCTTCCAACTGAGCAACATCCCCAGCCTTTTTAAAAAGAGATTTTTAAGATAATATATAATGCTGGTCATGGTGGTGCACACCTTTAATCCAAGGACTTGGGAGGCAGAGGCAGGTGGATCTTTGGGAGTTTGAGGCCAGCCTGGTCTACATAGCGAGTTCCAGGCCACTTGAAAGATACCCACAGAGTCCAGAAGAAGATATTGGATCCCCTAGAGCTGGAGTTACAGGCTGTTGTGAGCCACCCCACATAGGTGCTGGAAACTCAACTGAGGTCCTCTAGAACAGAAAGTGAGCAGGAAGTGCTTTTAACCACTGAGTCATCTCTCCAGTCGTGCTCCCCCCACAGCCCCATTTTTATTAGTTTTGAAGGACCAGGAAATAACACTACCTCTTAACATGAAAAATTTGATGAAATTTAGATTTTAATTTATAAATTTTATTAGAACACAGGCACACTATTTTATGTATTCTCTATGGTTCCTTTTGTTAGTCAAGTTGAATGGATATAACAGACTGCAAAGCCTGAAATATTTTGTCTCTGGCCCTGTACAGTAAGGTTTGCAGAGACCTGGTCTGTAGCCCTGTCAGTGTGGGAACTGCTTTACAGAGCAGGGCCAAGCATGTGGAAAGTATCAGGCACATATGGTAGGGCTCCTGGTCAACCCAGTTGCTTCCCATGCTGGGTGCTGCTGAAAGACAGAATGGGTAACTGCCAAGTGTCCCCAGCCAGCCAGCTGAGCTGAAGTAAGGCAATTCCAATTTCTGTTCTCACTGCCCATTCAATCGTGAGGCTCTTCAATCATGAGCCTCTCAGCCATGCATGTCAACAGGAAAGCCAATTAAGGCCAATTTGGATGTGAAAGGTGTTTCCTTAGGACAGACAGGGCTGAGATCACCATCTCACTTTACACCAATTCTGTGTCATAAAGGTGACCTTGGTTAGAGTCAAAGCAGAGCTTAAACAATGAAAGGTGCCCTTCTGCCAACTCACAGAGCCCCCAGACTCCGTAGGAACAAAGTGTCAAAGAGTCCACCTCATTTACCAAAGGCAACTTAACACAACGGGGTATAAACAGCCAACTGGTCTCACAAATTTAATATCCCTCTATAAGTTTACCCTCAGATTTCCCACATAAATTTACAGCAAAGCTTTATTAGAGCTATGTGTAAGCCATCAGTTTTGCTGGAATTCAAGATCACCAGTTACTGAGCTCTCTACTTGAACCTTAATCAGAGACCCACATACAAGGAATAGTGAATTTCTCAAACCACACTTCTTATAAGTAAATTTTTTTTTTGCTTGAGGTGATGGGCACATTTGTAAGAACCTTGTTTTATATTAAATTGCCTAAAAATGTTCTAAAACTAATTTTATGTGCATACTAGAATATTTTAATATGAAGAGTTTTATTAAAATGTTATGGTAGATCAAAGATAAATAAAAATTTTAAATCTTTTTCTTTTTAAAGTTTTTTTTTTTTTTTTTTTTTTTTGTCTTTTGAGACAGGGTCTCCCTGTAGCCCCAGCTGTCCTGGAACTATGTAGACCAGGCTGG